ATTCTAAGTCTCACCTCAAGTCTCACCTCTAAATGCGGAAAAAAATCAGAATGAAAAGCTGAAAGAAGCCTAAAATGTATATTTTATTCTAAGTCTCACCTCAAGTCTCACCTCTAAATGCGGAAAAAAATCAGAATGAAAAGCTGAAAGAAGCCTAAAATGCATACCTCTAAGTCACATCTTTTATCAAGTCTCGCCTCTAAGTGCCAAAAAAATTAGAATGAAAAGCTGAGAGAAGCCTAAAATACATAATATATTCTAAGTCGCACCTTTTATTAAATCAAATCTTTGAGCCATATCTCGCAATTTATTATAATATTGCATTACATAATATCTTCTAATATGTTTAGCACACCATTCACAAGCTGTAGCAGTAGGTTTGCCATAATCAGTATAAGAATAGCGCTTTCTAGTCTTCCAATGTTGCCAATATCCTTCAAATTGAATGCAGGCTTTACCACAAATCTTATCAGAGTTATGAAGATAGTCGTAAGTATAAAATGCTATCATTTATAATAGGGATGAAAAAATTTAATTAAACAAAATTATCTGCAATATAGAAAAGTGAATGGCAGATATACCTAAAGAGATAATTATTTTTATTTAAACAAAAGTTTACACAATAATTAACAGATGAGACTTATTAATATTATGCCTAGAAGTGATAAGAAAAATTCTACTTGTAGAGATTGCGATTATAAATTTACAAGACCTGCTAAACTTCATCAGCATTATAAAAGTAATAAAAATCAATGTGGACCAGATCCTGAAATTATTACTCAAGAGATACAAGCTTCAACTCCTAAGACTTCTAGTAAAAGGAAACTACTCCTTTATCTATAAAAAATTTAGTCAACTAATTAGCAAATCCTGAGATAAGAAATAATCCAAGCATTATTAGCAAAAAAATTCCAAAAACAGATGCAGAATGGTTTATCTAATAAAAAATTCTTCTAATAGAATTACTTCTGAAATCAGATCACGAAAGAAAACCAAAGTTTTCCAACCAAGACTAACAACTCAAATACATAAAAAGGGAGAACCTGATGAGGTTGAGCGACAAGATACTCAGGAGGATATTTATGAAGAATGTTCAGTTAGAAAGGATCTAGAAAGATCACATAAAAATCGATCTTTAATGAGCAAATGGGTAGGCAAAGTTCCTCATCCCGACAACAATCCAAAATATGCTTTTATTCAACCAATAGCTGATCTTATACAATATAAAAAATCCACAACTTATGGGTTAATTCGTTTGAAAATAACAGAAGTTTTTCAAATAAAGCTTCATAGAAAAGACCAAATAAAATCAGCTATAGTAGCATTGTGCCTGTTACGATGAGTTTTAGGAGGATCTTATATTCCTATTCCAAAGAAGCTAGCTAATATAAAGTGTACTATTAATCCAAATAATTATATGCTTATAGGTCCAGAAATAAATAGACCTTCTGAAAAGTGTCTCCAAGATGCTTTAGGTTGCTATTTCACTTATCAGGATGGACATACAGATCATCTTGAAAGAATCTTTTGAGCTACAAAATATAAACCATATTTAGATATAGTCAAGCTAGATGGAATCCTAATGCTCACTCCCATCTGCTCACATATATTTAATAAGATTGAGAAGATGAATCCAGATATCTCCATCAGTATCTGAAAATGGAAAGAAGAAACAGCTACTCCAAAACCTGTGATAGCTAGTAAAAACTTTAAAAGAAAACATAAAATTTAACTATTAGCTCTCACAGATATTACTAAATTAGAAGAAGGTAAGTATAGGCAAAAGAATCACTTCCTCTGGATTAAAAATCCTAGCAGATTAATATATAGTGATAATACACATAAAGAAAGAAATATTTATGTGATAGATGCACTATAAGTTACCTTCTGAAAAGTCTCTAGAATATCATTAGAATAGTGTTCAGGAATACATGAAAATGCTTCTCAAAGAGTCGCAATGCCAGTGAAAGGGGTTAAGATTATGAAAAGTTCAAAAACTATGGTTGAATGATCAATGCTTCATGTGTTATTACAGCTAACTTTGAGGGTATTATAAGAAATGTAATGAAACATATGGTGGAAGTATGATTAAACTCACTAAATAGAAGATTAACAGTTTCTGTTATTTGGTTCACTGGATCAATACTGGAAATGTCTGGGGTCCGTTCCTATATAGAGGAGAAAATGCCACACAAGAATTCATTCAAAAAATTGATTAAGAGCTAGTCAAAATCAATAAGGTCCTAGCCATCAAATATGAGCGAATTGAGACCGAAGAAGACAAGAAAAATTTCACAAAAGCAATTAACTGTTGGATCTGTAAAGGTAAGTTTGATATAGATATAGATGAAATTAAACGTCTAGAGAACAAAATAACCAATCTTAAAGAGAAGCTAGAAAAGTTTAAAAAGGATTCAGCTGAATATAATGGCATCGAAACAACCATTGATAAAGTGACTAAAGCAATTGCTAGTGAAAAAGCTAAAGCTAATAAGGTCTGGGATCATTATCATATTATAGGTATGTTTTATGGAATAGCCCATAAGATTGTAATCTCAAACTCCAAATACAGGATTAGAAGACACCAATTCCAGTTATATTTTACAACTTTCGAGGCTATGACTCTCACTTGCTTTGTGAGTCTGTCGGGCGATCAGCTAATGCTCTTCATATTCAAGTTATAGCCGAAA